CTAATACGGGGTCTTAGCCGGTGTTCAAGTCGCCCAGGATGGGGAGCAGCTTGTGGTGGTGGGATCAGAAGTTCCAGCAACTCGGGGCAGAGTCGCTGTCAGTCAGGGCTGCGTCGCCAGGAACGGGCTTCGAGGTTGTTCACGGGGACAAAGAGGGTACTTCCCAGTCACTCCTGTACGTGGGTGGAATTTAACAATAAAGCTGGACGATAGTCACGACCTGGCTGCTGGTCCTCTCGCTGATGGTCTCTCCCAAGGTGCGCGGCAACTACACTTCCCGGCGTCCCTGGCGGCAGCGGGGCGGGGGAAACGGCCGGGGGAGCGGGTTCCTGCTGGTGTGCGCCATGGGTCGGCTGTTGAACACGCTGCCGCTGTTAGGCACGCTGCGGGCGCGTGGCTGCCCAGGGACCGGCCGGCTGTGCGGGGCTGGAGCGGGTGGCGCCCGGGCCTGCAGCTCCACAGCGGCCGTGGACGGCCTGGAGGGCCCGGCGCGCCAGCGCTCCTACTGGCACTACGTGAGACGTCTGTTGTTAGGAGCGCCACAGCCGCCGTACTTGCACGTTTGCCAGATCGGGGACCCGGTGCTGCGGGCGGTAGCGGCCCCAGTGGAGCCGGCGCAACTGGAGACCCCGGAGCTGCAGCGGCTGGTGGAGCGGCTAGTGCAGGTGATGCGGCGCCGGCGATGCGTAGGCCTGAGCGCGCCGCAGCTGGGGGTGCCGCTGCAGGTGCTGGCCCTGGAGTTCCCCGAGACGCTTTTCCGCGCCTGCGCGCCGCGCCTGCGCGCGCTCCGCCAGATGGAGCCTTTTCCGCTGCGCGTGCTCGTGAACCCTCGTCTGCGGGTGCTGGATAGCAACGTTGTCACCTTTCCCGAGGGCTGCGAGAGCGTCGCCGGCTTCCTGGCCTGCGTTCCCCGCTTCCAGGCTGTGCAGATCTCAGGTGCGGGCGGCCGGGCCGGGGCGGCTGGGTAACTTTGCGCTCTCGCCCTGACAGTGGAGGCGGCGGCACCGGAGCCCACGGAACGGTCTCTGCGAAGCTCCAGGGAGTGTGCAGACTTGTTTATAGTTCGTCTGCAGAGCCTCCCTTGGGAGCAAAGCAGGACCCGGGAGCGCTAGGGACTCGGGAGTGACGGACTGGTGGGGAAGGAGGCTCCTGTCAGGTCTGGGCTCCTTCGGGACACGGGTTGGGAGGTGCCCTAATTCTGCAGGTAGTTGCCAGTCTAGCCTGGATTTAATTCTCTTTTCCTGTCTCCTCCTCTGCTTCTCTCTCTCCCTCCTTCCCCACACCCCACATTCGTTCCCTCTCCTTCTCTCCTGCCCCACTGTATCTGTCAAAATGGGTTTGGAGAAGTGGAACCCAGCGTTGCCAAGCCCAGGGCAGTAAACCATCCGCCTCTGTCATACCATAGATGTTTTGTAGAATGGTTCTCTGAAGGGGTTGGGATGACTGTTATTCTTGAGCAAATCACTTCGGCCAAGAGGGTCAGAAGGTGTCTCTTTATTTTCTACTGTACCAGGCTAACATACCTTTGATAGGAAGCAACACTTGACAAGTGAGAAGAAAGGAGGGCATCTTAGCGAAAGAATTTCTCATTGTCCGCCTCATATTGAGCCCCACAACCTTATTATTAGAGGGGCAACTAGGTATACTTGGGAATGGGCAGAATTGAGGCATCTTCTCTAGGAGGGGTAGGGGCTGCTGTCTATATTTGCTTACTTATGTTGCCTCTTGTAAATAGGAGCAAACAGGGCAGGGGGCAGGGAACAGCACAAGGAGGTTGAGAATGATGCAGTTAAGCATGTCCTCACCTCACCTGGATCAGCATGTAACTTTCTTTACAGGAATGGACCCAAGAGGAGAACAGGTGGAGTGGCAGGCAAGAGGGTGGACAGCCCGCATCATCCAGCATGAGATGGACCACTTGCAAGGCTGCCTGTTCATTGACAAAATGGACAGCAGGACATTTACAAACATCCACTGGATGGAAGTGAATGACTGAAGCTTTCCTGCTGGGGCTGAGGATCTGGAAAGACTAAATGCAAATACCTGAATTTGAGCTGGGAATATCTTATTTGCCTTCAACTTGGTATTGGTCCTGATATGAAAGAAAACAGTGGACTTCCAGAGCATATTGAACTGAGTTAGAGGAAAATCTTAGAAATGTTTATTCCAGTGAGGTTTGGACAAAATATTGCTACAATTTGAGAAAAATAACCCCCCTGAAATGGATGTTTCTTGACATTTTTGTATGGAGAGAAGAGGGGCAAGTACATAACCTTTCTCAACAGTGATATCATAAGACCTGTATAACCTACTTCCAAAGCCAAGATTTCATAGTAACACAGTTCCCAAATATTAGAAAGCTGTGTTTTAAAATGCAGGTAAGGGGGCTGAGGCTATAGCTCAGTGGCAGAGCACTTGCCTAGTATTCGTGAGGCACTGGGTTCAACCCTCAGCACCGCATAAAAATAAACTAATAAAGGCATTCTGTCCATCTACACCTATAAAACAAAAAGTTAAAAAAATGCAGATAAGGCATTTCTCTGAGTTCTTTTTACAAAGAGCTTGTATGTGTCTGACTTGGACAGTCCTTGTTTGCCTTGGATACCAGTTGCTTATAAAAGTAAAACACAGGACAGAGTGGTCCCAATTCAAGAAAGTGTTTAATAACATTATTAATGTAAATACGTATCCACACATTTTAACAGGTTCAGATAGTTTAGGTCTCCACCTTTCTTTCTCTCTTTTTTTAAGATGGCATCTTGTTGCCTTGCCCACGCTGGGCTCAAACTCCCAGTCTTCTTGCCTCAACCTCTGAAGTAAGTGGGATTATAGGTGTGCACCACTGTACCCAGCTCAGGTCTTTTACCTGCCACCTTTACAAAGTTAGGGAAAAGTTTGCTGCTAAGATCTGTTGAACAGCGGGTACTTGGCTCATTGGTTGGGTGGAGGCCATGGAACAGGGCTGGAGGTGGGAATGACAACTGATAGGGAGCGAGCCCCTTCCTGTCATAATTAAGATAGTAATGGAAAGCAGAATTGGTATTTAGCTGTTTACCATGCTTATTTTGAAAAAAATAAATTAGCATCATACTACCAGTGTTTAACTTTTACGAAACTGTTGAGTTTTGTCAAGAGGTGAAGGAATTCCAAAAGTATTAGGTAAATTGTCTAACCTCATTTTTATGTTGAGGTTTGAGGTATTCAAGTTTTTTTGTTTTTATTTGTATTGCTGGAGGCTGTGCACAGGCTCTACCACTGAACTATACCCTTAGCCTCTGAAGCAGGTGTTCTTGTAAAACAAAATCCTCAAAATTAGTGTACACAAATGAGGGCTGGGGGTGTAGGTCAATGGCAGGTCAGAGCACTTGTCTAGCATGCGGGAGGTCCTGGGTTTAATCCCCAGTACTGCAAAAACACAATAACATGCACGGAGGTGCATGCCTGTAATTTTAGCTAGTTAGGAGGCAGAGGTAAGAAAATCACAAGTTGGAGGCCAGCCTGGACAACTTAGTGAGACAATCTCAAAAACTAAAAAGGGCTGGGCATGTAGCTTAGTGGTAGGGAGTCCAGTAAATTATTTAGACAAGCCCAGGAAAAACCCACTCTTGTTTATAGTTTTCCTCTAACTTTGGAGCAGGCTGACAGGCTGAAGATGTAGTGAAACTGGAGAAGAATCACCACCAAGCACTGCCCCACAGTTAGACTACAATGCTTCCTTGTAGTCTGAGGGTCACAGCCCTTTGGTGATACCTTTGTGATGGTCAGTATCAACAAATCCTTGCATTTCCAATAAGGAAAATTTCTCTCACCAAGGTAGGTATTGGCCACAAAAAACACACACATGTACCAGTTAGAATCTTGAACTTTTTTTTTTTTTTTTTTTTTTGCTTTTTGGGTATCAGGGATTGAACCCAGGGGTGCTATATCCCCAGCCTGTTTTATTTTTTTATTTTGAGATAGGGCCTCACTAAGTTGCTGAGGCTGGTCCCCAACTTGTGATCCTCCTGCCTTAGCCTCCCAAGTTGTTGGGATTATAGGCATATGCCATCATGCCTGGTCCCACACAGGTTTTAAGAAAACAATTAAGGCTGGGGATGTAACTCACTGGTAGAGAATGTGCTTAATATGCTTGAGGGCCTGCATTCAGTCCCAATAAAATAAAATATAGATGAATAATACCAGTTTTGGAGGGAAGAATGGCTAGACCATCCCTTCACAGTCTGTTTCCTGACAGGCCTTTTCCATGTGGTTGTCAGGGTGAAGCTAAAAGTGCTGTGTCTGCTCCACATCACACAGCATTTCTGGGACTGCCAGCTTTGGAACCTTGGTGTCTACTTCAGGGGTCATTAAGTCCACTGGCTGCCTGGTGGGCAACATAAATGAGTGGGGAAAGGGAACTCCTTTTAGACAGGGCAGCCCCTGCCCAGGGATGTAGGCCTAGTTTTACCTCCAGAGCCAGAAATCTGCCTTTTTTTTTTTTTTTTTTGGTACTAGGGATTGAACACATGGGTGCTTTACCACTGAGCTACATCCCCAGCCCTTTTATTTTTGAGTCAGGACCTCACTACATTGGTAAAACTGGCCTTGAACTTGGGATCCTCTGGCCTCAGGAGTTCAAGTCACTGGTATTACAGGTGTGTGTCACCACCCAGAAAAATCTACATTTTTATGTTAATTTTTGATTTTTTAAATGTTGGCAGCAGACCAAACAGCTGCAGGTTATGTCTGACACATAGGCCTCCCACTTTGCAGTCTGTGATCTGGACACTGGACAATAAGAAGAGCTGACCAGGTCCCTTAAATACCCTCAGCTAATCTTCTGAGCCACCTTACTGGAGAGCAGACCTGAGAACTGTAGAAGGTGGCCAGCATTCCTGCTTGCTTCCTACTCCGCTGAGGAGAGGAGAGGAAGAAGCAAAGAAAATGAGAGCATGTTACTGGAAGCAAAAGTGGCCTTCAGGTAGCCCCAGACAAGTCAAAGATGAGACCACTCCAGTGGCTCAAGAAGGGAAAAGGATTTATTAGACCATCTCCAGGACAGGGACCCAGGGCAGTGGCTGGGTTCAGTGTTCTTACACTCAGGAGGGTGGGGCTGGGGGGGTGGGGAGGCAGCAGTGAAGATGCACCTGCCTTCTCTCCTGATCAAAACAGCTTTGTGCTCACAGAAACCATCTCCTCCTCTTGCAAGGAAGACACAGGGCTCTGGATGCAAACCTAGGAGGGTGGGAATGGCTTTTCTTACTCTTCATCAGTCTGTTCTCAGCCAAACTTGGCCATAAAAGTAACTGGGGCCTGGCTACTCCCACTCCTTGACACTTCCAGGGGATTTTACCTTTATAAACAAGACAAATCAAAGCAGCATTAATTTAGGGAAACAAAAATAAAGAAGACATGGAGGGTCAGGAAAAGGAACTGGTCAGCATCCAGAAGAGAGAACTAGGAAGAACCAGTATCCACTGTGTGCCAGACCGCAGCGGAGCGTCATCTGCTGTGGAGGCCTTTTTCTTCCTGCTCCCTGGCTGGCGGCCAGACAGCAGAGGAGACACTGTGGTGACTTTAGGACGAGCCCTGGAGCCCTGTCTGGCCACCAGTGTAGGGAGTACCGTAGATGTGCCCCAATCAACCTCCCACCTTCACCTTCACCCATGTGAAGAAGCTTTTAACTCTCCTGTCCAAAGTCCTCTGAGAATTTCTTCACTTTCAGGAGGTCATCTGCATTCACTGTGGGCCGGGTGGTGGCCAAAGACCGGAGCATGTCCGACTGTAAAGACAAGAGCATACTGCTGAGAAGCAGCCAGGCTCCAGATGCTAGGCCTCCCTCCTTGCACAGCTATGCCATCTAGGGTAGCAAGGTCATTGCCCAGTGCAGAACTCCCTACAGTTGCTAAACTAGAATCAGCCTGTGACAGGCAGCATAGTGAGGCAGCACATATCATTTCCAGAGGTCTGATCTGAATGAATCAAGGTTCCATCCTATCATAACTCCCATTTTTTAATTTTTTGCCCATCACACCAGGATAGAATGAGCACTGCGACTGGCAAGACTAGGAAATGGATAGGGCCACACTACCTGGGTGAGAGGCTGCCTCTGCCTCTGCCACTGCATTAAATGAAACCTTGCTCACATACTTTTTCTGGTTTCTTCTGGACCAATTAAGTCAAACCTCTGGGATGATAGTTACATTATCTAAACTTTACTCTTTCTACTAAAGTATATAAACTTTATATACTTTAGTAGGATATATAGCCTCTGCTCCCCTTGAGTCACAGCAAGATCCTCAGCAACCCAAAGCTACAAAGGTCACCGTTTCAGAGGAGCCATGATAGCTCAGGCTACGGACGGAAAGAAGTTCATTTTTCTTCTTGGACCCAGGCCCCTAATTTTCTGGGCTCTATAAGTCCCCTCTCCCAGTTGTTTACTTACCATGGAAACCACAGGCTCTAAGAGTTTGTCACTAGGAACCTCCATCCAAGTCATCTCTATGGCCCCTGGGTCCCCTGGAGAGCATGGGGTCAGGAGGTCATCAATCACAATGCTAGGGTTGGTGCGGGAAGGACCACAGACCTGAAACCAAGCAGGAGTTTGACAGGCTGGTATAGCTGTTCTTCACTGTTAAGGGACAGTAGAAACACCTCAGATTTCTAAAGATGTCCTAAAGAAAGGGAATGGATGGTTTTCTAGGTCATCAGGATCACAAGAATTCTCCTTCAGAATTCCTGGGCTGGCTGGGCATGGTGGGGTATGCCTGTAATCCCACAGCTTGGGAGTCTGAGGCAAGAGGACTGAGTTCAAAGCCAGTCTCAGCAATTTAGTAAGCATCTTAGTGACACCCTGTCTCAAAATAAAAAGTGCTGGGGTTGTGGCTAAATGGTTAAGCACCTCTGGGTTCAATTTCTGGTACTAAACCAAACAAAAATTCCTAGGCTAGCAGGGTAGAGTGGCTACATGCCTATAATACCAGCTACTCAGGAGGCTGAGGCAGGAAGATCTCAAGTTCTAGGTCAGCCTGGGCAACTTAGTGAAACCCTTTCTCAAAATCAAAGAATATAAAGGGCTAACTGGGCCGAACATGGTGGCAAAAGCTTGTAATCCCAGTGACTCAGGAGGCTGAGACAGGAGGATCACGAGTTCAAAGCCAGCCTCAGAAAAAGTGAGGCACTAAGCAAATCAGTGAGACCCTGTCTCTAAATAAAATACAAAATAGGGCTGGAGATGTAGCTCAGTGGTTAAGTGCCCCTGCATTCAATCCCCAGTACCCCCCAACACCCTCCAAAAAAGGGCTAGCTGGTTATGGTGGCACATGCCTGTAATCACAGTGGCTTGGGAGGCTGAGGCAGGAGGATTGCAAGTTCAAACTCAGCCTCAGCAACTTAGCGAGGCCCTCAGCAACTCAGTGAGACCCTATCTCTAAATAAAGATATAAAATAGGGCTGGGGATGTGGCTCAGTGGTTAAGTACCCTTGGGTTCAATCTTTGGCATACACACACACACACATATACACACACAAAATGGCTGAGAATGTAGCCAGTGGAAAGCGTCTCTGGGTTCAATCACCAGCACTGTAAACAAACAAAAAAGCTCCTGTACTGAGTGGTCAAAGTGGCTCAGTCTGATTTCAGAGTCCCGATGACAGCATGCTCTGCCAGCCACTGACCTCCAGATTCTCAAATAATAGCCCCAAATGTCTCACCTTCCTTATTAGTACCACTAAATTTCATCAAAAATGCAGTAGCAATAAAAATGGTTTTTTTTCCATAATGCTAAGTGAAGACAGCCAATCCCAAAAAACCCAATGCCAAATGTTTTCTTTGATATAAAGAGGCTGATTCATAGTGGGATAGGGAGCGGGAGCATGGGAGGAATAGTCGAACTCTAGATAGGGCAGAGGGGACATGGGGAAATTAACGATGGTGCAATGTGATGATCATTACTATCCAAAGTACGTGTATGAATTGGTGTGAATATACTATGTATACCAACCAGAAATATGAAAAATTGTGCTCTATATATGTAATAAGAATTATAATGCATTCTGCTGTCATATATAAATTTTTAAAAATTACATAAAAAATGTTTTTTTCCCACTTAAGTATATGCCCTAGCAAAACATCCCTCAAATATCCTAAGGCTCTTTCCCTCACCTTCAATTCTTGATTCAAATGTCACCCACCTGTTGCCTGGCCTTTAATAGTGCATCCTGCCTGCATCCTAAACCTCTGGTACTCCTGGTCTACCTTACCCTGCTTAGCTCTTCCTCATTACCTGTTAAGGAACTGACTTTTATCTTGTTTATTAAGGTCTACCCCCACATGAATGAAGGCTACTAGAGAGAAGGGAGTTTCATCTGTTATGATCACTAATGACTTCTCAGCACCTAGGACCGTCAGGCACACAGGACCCACAGCAGACACTCAACAAAGATCTGTTGAAGGAGACCATGGGTCCTCTTTATAATTAGTAATTGTCAAGCATTTACTTGGCATCTACTCTCACACAACACAGTGCATCTTGGGGAGGCTGCAGAGCTGTGGAAACAGTGGCCCATCTTTTGGCTCCTCACAATCAAGAGACAATCATGCTTAGGCAAGGGCTTCAGAGATGGGAGGGCAGGTGTAGTCCTGCCTCCTGGAACTAGTGGGCACACCCAACTCTTTCCCTTAGTTCTCCAAGAAATTGAGAGTGTGTCCTCTGAGCAGCCAGGGAGCAGGGAAAAAAAACAGATACCCCTTGGAGATACTGCCTAAGCCTTCTGATTTTGTGTGTGTGTGTCTGGTACTAGGGATTGAGGCCAGGGATGTTCTACCTCTGAGCTACATTCCCAATCCTTTTTATTCTTTGAGACAGGGTCTCACTTATTTGCCAGTTCTGGCCTCAGACTTGCAATCCCCCTGCCTTGGCTTCCCGAGTTACCCAGCCACCACTCACCTTCTTGAAGTGTGTTGCTGACTGCACTTTCCTGACAGGCTGCATAAGGGAGTCCCTCACAATGATGCTGATGTCTGCACCTGAGTAGCCTTCTGTCTTCCGGGCCAGCTCATGGATGTTGGCATCTGTGAGGTTGTGTGGAGTGCTCCCAAGATGCAATCGGAACATCTGGGCACGGGCAGCTTCTTCTGGCAGTGGGATATAAATGCGCTTTTCAAACCTAAAGAGCCAAGTACAGAGCAAGAAATGAAAGCTGATCACAGAATGGAGTTAGAAGAAGGCACAGCATGGACAGCAAAAGAGATGCATTTTTAGGCCAGCAATGCTGGCACCATAGCCCACAAGAATCTGGCTTCATAAGGGCTCTGCTCCAATCAGACCAGGGAGGACACCGGAGAATAAGATAAGGGCACGCTTATAGGCTACCAGTGGCCTGAGGAAGATGTTAGCCCCAAGCCTGTCCTGTGGGAGACTCACCTCCTTCTAATAGCTGAATCCAACACCCAGGGGATGTTTGTGGCACCGAGAACCAGAGTCCCATCATTGTTATTCCCCACCCCTGTGGAGAAAGGGAGACAGAGATGTGGACTATGAAGACACCTGCAAGGGTCAGTCAGAACCACTGGGACAGATCTCAGGGGCTTTGTGAATCATCACCTGAAGCCATCCCTGTGCCACCACTGGCAGGGTCCCAGTTGAAATTAAAGCACTCTGATCTGGCTTTGCTGCGATTAAGAGACCTAAAGCACAATCTGCCACAGGAAGGGCAGAATAGCGGGGTGGCATTGGTCTCAACAGCTTCTCTATGGTGAAAACTCATTTGAGGACTGAGGATATGATGCCAAGGAGCACTTTTCCTCCACTCCAAGGACAATCACCCAGCTACAGCTAAATCTGGAGTCCTGAACTGACTTTAGGTGGAGTGATGACCCAGGGGCAACCAGACTAGTACGCACCCTGCATTTGGACCAAGAACTCTGTTTTGATCCTTCGGGCAGCCTCGCTCTCATTTTCATTCCGGGACCCACAGAGAGAATCCACCTCATCGATGAAGATGATGGAGGGCTTGTGTTGCCTGGCTAGCTCAAAGAGATTCTTGACTAGCCTGTAAGGGTAAAAAAGGGGTTAGGATCTGGATGCTCCCAGACATGCCCACCCAGGGTTCCAGTTGCCACTTCTCCTGCCTTTCCTGTGAGGAGACTGAAAATTGATGTCAGGGAGAATGGTGGTGACAAATTCTTTGGCAATAGTGCACCAAAGAAGAACATGCCTCAACACCAGCTTCAGACCCTGGGGCCCAAGCATTAGCTCTGAATTTAGGACAAGTCATTTCTCTTGCCCTAAGCCTCAGTTTCATCATCTGCAAAATAGGAATCAGTGTGGGGAATAAGCTAAATCCTCTGACAGGGGATGGTCAGCTATACTCATCATGGTTAGTTCCATTCCCTTTGCTTCTTGAGTCCTTCATTGCTTCCAAGTTCTCTTCTAGTTACCTACAGGATGGTGTCCCAACCAATAAGCGGGCAAGATTTCACTCTCCTGGCTATTCTCCCTGAATATTAAACAGCAGCTCCTCCGGGAGATGACTCCAAGGGGCAGAGAAGCTGGACCAGCACAGCTGCCAGGGCTGCCAGGAGAGTGCAGCCCGATGGCTGACTTACTTCTCACTCTCCCCCAACCACTTAGACATCAAATCTGAGGAGGACACAGAGAAGAAGGTAGAGTTGTTGGCCTCTGTTGCCACAGCCTTGGCCAGATAGGATTTCCCTGTGCCAGGGGGTCCAAAAAGCAGTATCCCTCGCCAAGGGGTACGCTTGCCTGCAATAGAGAATAACTGAAGTAAGCCTCCTGATTGGGGAATGGGAACAGAACAGACAAACAAACAAAAAGAACAGAGGGCCTTTAGACACTGTCAGTAAGAGGTCCTAGAAAACAAATGATTCCAGGAACAAAGGTGTCTAAGGAATTAAGCACCTACTGGAAGCCTAGCCCTTGTTTTCTGTTTTTGTTTTTTGTGAGGCTAGGGATTGAACCAGGGCCTCGCCCATGCTTATGCTCTATCACTGAGCTACACCCCCCAATGCTCTAGCTCTTGTTAATGATCCTCATTGTTCTTGCCAAATGACACTGGCTGGCACTGGTTCCTAACTCTGACTACCTACTAAAATGGGTCAACTAAAGTTTTAGTCACAGGGTTGTTTTTGATGCCACAGTAGATAACTGGTGAGCAGGCCTTGGGGCTTCTCCTTATAGAGCACATGGCAAGTCCAGGCCTGGTCCTCTTGGGCTAAGGAAGCAGATACCATCTGTTCCAGGACATTTCAGAGGGGAAGCTCCAAGCTGGCTCCCTCAGAAGCCTGATATTTTTACACCCAAGCTTCAGGTGGCTCAACTCTTTACCTGTGAACAAGTGTGGGAATTTAATTGGCAAAATGACAGCTTCTTTGAGAGCCTCCTTGGCCCCCTCCAGCCCAGCCACGTCATTCCATCGTATGTTGGGTTTCTCCATCACAACAGCACCTGCACAGGGAAGCAGAACCAGAGTCTAGCCTATGAGCATGAGCTAAGCCAACAGCAGACCCACGCCACATTCCCTCCCATTGCCACAAGGCTTCAGGCCTCTTACCCATCAGTTGTTCTTGCAATTTCTTTTTCTCTGGATTATCCCCTTCACTGTCACTATCACTGCTAGGAAAGGAAACAGAAGATCACAAGCTGGCCCTTTACCCTGGGAGCAGGGAGACCCTCAGAGTGAGGCCACAGTGCTGTGGGTAAGGAATGCCTCTTCCTTAACACCAGTAAGGGACCTTGAAACACCAGGGCCACAGGCTGTCCTACAAGAAACACTCCAATAACCCATCCTCATTTCTTCATTAAGGGAATAAGGATAGAGATATCTGGCCTCTCCTGAGGGTTGGTAAGGGAAATGTGCTTTGGTTAAATTTAAAGAGCAGTCAGTCAAGCCAATGTAGCTTTCAGGTCCCTTTCCTATGGACTTGGACCTTGGTCATGGCAGTGACCCCAAAACAGTTCCAAGGACAGAAAGGAGGTAAAGTTTAAATCAAAAGATGAATATGCTCTCATCCCAAGAGTCAGCTCCTATCCTATCATTTATCTGTCATTTACAACTCTTCTATCCCTTTTGGAGACCCTTAGCCTTCTGGTTCTTCTTTGGTATGCTTCTGGTTCTGGGGAACCAGACCACAGGCATGGACTCTCTGCCCAGGAGAGCATCTCACTTCTGATGAGGTAGCTGACACAGTCACCTATTTCCTACCCCATGACTCTGTAGCCCCAAGGGCCCTCCCTAACTCCAGACACCACTGTGTTTGTGCTCAGCTGACTGGCATCACCATGGTAGGTGAACCCCAGACATGAGATGAGAGGCCACAGAGAGACCACTCGCTGTGAGAGGAGAAACAGAAGCCTTGGATGGGGAGTCCAGACTCTAATCATGTTCTAGCTCAGTGACCTTAGCTAATCTCAGCCTCTCCGTTTTTTGCTGCTTGACCTGTCAGATGAAGATAATGGTTCTCTGTGATAATAGCAGCTTACTATGCACCAAACTCCCATCTAGGGCTTTACCCATATCATCTCCTCTGCTCCTATGGCCATACTAGAAGCAGAGTTCTATCATTTTCCCCTTATGAAATGAGACTAGAGGCATAGAAGTTAAGATCACATGGCAAGACAGTGGAAAAGCCAGGGTTCTATCCTGAGAGTTGAGCTGCAAAGGCCAAGGTTCATCACCCCATGCCATGCCCCTTATCTCTGTATGACTTTTCTATACAGATCCAATAACATAACAGATAGTATTCTGCAAAGTCTTAATGAAAGCAGCTGTTGGCATTATTATTATGAGTGGAAATCCCCATGAGAAGGATGCCAATGCAGTCCAAGGTAACATTAGCACCAAGAATAACAGTGACACATGAAGAAGGCACATGCACATGGGGGCTCCGTTCCACCAGGGCCAGCAGTGCGCTCCAGCACACTCACCCCTTGCCCTCACTTTGATTCTCTTTGACTGGCTTCTTGCCGTGTTTCTCTTTGTTTCGTAAATAATCCTTCAGCTTCTCTGCCCGGTCTAGGTACTGCACGCACTTGGCTCGAATGCTCTCCTTGGCTTTGTCACTGTGTGCCTCATCTGCAAAAGGGGAAGCAGAGAATGGCCCCCATGAGCTTTGTGTGCCTAACCTGCACTCAAGGAGCTCTGACGCTAGAGCGCGCCCTGATGTGACTCACACTTGATAGCGTGGAGGAAGTACTCCACAGCATGCTGGTAGAGCCGGAGTGCCTCCTCGTAGTTCTTGGCTTTATCCTCTTCTGTGGCTTTTGTCACCAGATCAATGGCTTTCTGGAAAAACAAGGCAAATAGCTCAGGCTGTTTCCCAGGAGATCCAGAAAGCCCCTGGGGTCACAAGCAGCAGAATGAGATATGAGGAGAGATAGTGCCAGATCTGTGGATTTATTGATTGCAGTCCATTATATTGCCCTGTTTTTCTCACATCAACTTGGTCCTTAAAGGAAGAAAAGACAAATCAGGTCTTGGCTGGAGATGTAACAGTGGTAGAGTGCTTGCTTGCCTAGCATGCGGGAGCTCCTGGGTGTGATCTCTGGTACTGCCAAAACAACAACAAAACAATGTCCCTCTTCACAGGGAGTTCATGGTAATTCAAAATAATATCTTGTCCAGTTCTCTGGAACGCAACAAGTGAAAAGCTGACCTAATAGCTGGGGCTTGGGTTTCAAGGAAGAAAACCAGACTAAGCCAGGGCATGGTGGTGCACACCTGTAATCCCAGCAGCTTGGGAGGCTGAGGCAGGAGAATGGCAAGTTCAAAGCCAGCCTCAGCCTCAGCAATGGAGAGGCACTAAGCAACTCAGTGAGACCCTGTCTCTAAATAAAATACAAAATAGGGCTGGGAAGGTGGCTCAGTGGTTGAGTGCCCCTAGTTCAATCCCCAGTACCCCCCCCCCAAAAAAACCAACAAACTAAAAACAGACTAAGTGAGGGGAAACACCAGAAGCAATTGGTTGCTATGTTGCTCAACAAGGAGGTCAGACACTGCACTGGGCCTTGGGGTTCAAAAGATCCAGCCAGGGAGCAAAGTCTTTCACTAAACCAAGAGAAGGGCTTATGGACACCTCTACATCTTTCTACTGGCCCACCTCAGCTTGCTTCCCTCAGCTGAAAAGAGAAGACAGTTTTCTTGAACTGTTTGAGGATGACACTGGGGAGGGGATGCTTGGCCACATGGCTACATATAATACCAGTAGCTCCAGGAAGGAAAATGCTTGCTTACCCCAGAGATGACATGTGCTGCTAGTTGAGGGAAACTCTCCTTTGGAACTTCTAAGAACTCTGTGAATAATGTCTTTGCGAGTCATCTAAGTCTTGCACATCCCTGGATTGGCTGAACTGGAAACTGGAAGCACCTACACATCCAGTTTTAGAAACCACAGCTTTCCCAACCCACAAGCCTGACCAGAAATCTTTATCTGGTACAGCTCTAGTAGCTAGGCAGGCAGATTCCACTGCAGACCTAGTTCCAGCCACAGCAAACAATAATCCTTGACCAACTCTGGCAGGGTTGTAGTCAGAACACGACTTCAGTAAGAAGTCTCTGAAAGAAAGGCACAAAGAGAGCTCTACAAGACTGACAGGTAAAACAGGCCAGACATCCCTTTCCAGGTGTCAATTTCAGATAGTTTAAGAAAACTGACTTTTCTTTTTGGCTGAGAGAAGCAAGATGAGATGGGCCAGTAGGAGGATGTAGAGGGTCCTTACTAGACTGAAAAGACATGAAAAGTGAAGAATGTTGGCTTTGTTCCTTCCTCTGCCTACTTTCAGAGGATGCCTAGGAGTCCTGCACTTTTATGCACAATCAGCCAACACACAAATTCTACCTGTCTATTCTCCTTTAGATAAGGCATGGAAACAATATTCCTGTCCTGGTGGCTTCTCCAGAACAAACACCTCAGTTCCTAGTATTTTTTTTTCACTCTGTACTACTCCTTGCTTGGGTCTGTCCTTTTGAAGTGGGGGCTCTGAAAAAGCTCAAGATATGCTCTGCTCCATGGGGTGGGAGGGCGCTCATCCCAGATGTCCTTGTAGACATTCTTATTAATGCACTGAAGTGCATTAGATTTCTCGGGCAACCAATACTGTTTTTCACATTCAGGATGTAGTTTTAATGAAAAACAGCTTTGCATAACAGGAGGGTAAGGTGACAAAGCTGCCAGTCCTGCCACATCTCTAGTAACAGGTATGGCAAAGAATGAGAATGAAGGAGAAAAGTGACAAAGGTGTGCTAACAGAAGAGCAGGAAAACTTTTTCTGTAAAGAATCAAAGAACAAATATTTTAGAATTTGCCAGCCATACAATCTCTACTCAACTATTCAACTCTGCCTTTGTGGCATAAAAGCAGCCATGATAATATGTAAACGAATGAACTGGGATGTGTTCCAATAAAACTTTATTTATAGGCTCTGAAATTTGAATTTCAAATTATTTTCATATGTCATAAAATTATTTTTTCCAGCAATTTAAAAAATGTAAAAGCCTATGGCATTATGTTAAGCCAAAGAAGACAGCCACATGTTGTATGATTCCATTTAGATAAAATGCCCAGAGTTGGCAAATCTATAGAGAAAGAGAATGGATTAATAGTTGCCTGAGAGGGGCAGAAGGCATGGGGATTCTTTCTGGAGTGATGAAAATGTTCTAAAAAGTGAGGGGTGATGGTTGCACAACTGTGATTTTACTAGAAATGTTGGGTGATATCTTTAGATGAGTAAACTGTATTGCATTTGAGATGAGTTATATAGATCCCTGTAACAACCTCTTGAGTTTCTGCTGGTCAATGGTGGGTTCTGGCTTTGGACTCCATCTAATTCCTAGCCTAGTACCCAATTTATTCCATGCCCGTCCCTCCACCTAGGGTAACCATCCCTCCTCCACCACCAACTATCTGAATGCTACTTATCCTTTGATGCTCTGGCCAAATGCCCCCTTTTCCACTAAGTCTTGTCTGATTCTCCCAAGTGTTTTTCTGCCATTGCTTACTGAGCACTTCCAATGTACACGACCTACAGTAAAAATGCTTTACTTGAATTATTAAACCTAGAGGCATCTCACAACAACCCGATGCTACACTGCCCCATTTTACAGATGTGCAAATCAGAGATTCCAAGATCAAAAGCATAGCCCAAGGTCACATGCTAGTGCGTGGCAGAGCTGGATTCACACCTGGTCTAAGGCCTGAGCATGTGTTTATGTTTTCTGACAGCACCAGGAGGATGGGCCCGTCATTCATCCAAGAGGCGCGACCCAGCACCACCTTGTAAGATCCAGAAAACGAATGAAGGGTCTCTGGGTGAGAAGAGGGGGTCGCAACAAGGAAAGGAGCGTGGCTTGTTCGCAGAGGGCCGAGGAGCTGCTAGGGCCTAGGGCAGAAGGGAGTGAGCATCTCTCCCTGAACGACCAGAAGGGACGGGGCCGAGCTTGCCAAGGAGGCGCTCCGGGGCCCAAGAGCAGTTGTACAGCGGCGGTTTGGGGCGCCGGCTGCAAGTAGTGGCCTCCCGGCTCCGCCAGCAGGGCAAGGGCCGGGGACTGGGATGTGGAGACCTCCCTCTGCTCCCAGCGCGTGAAAAGAGAAACAGCGGAGACTGGCCGCGGTGGTCAGGCTGGACAGCGAGGCCGGGGCTCGGAGGTGGTCGCCCGCCTGCCGGCTCCAAGGCCCGCAGGCCCCGCTGCACCGCCTTCGGCCTCCGCAGCCGGCCGGGCCGCGCCGAGGTACCTGGAGGGTTGACGTTGTCATTTCATCTCCTGGGTCCGCCCCACACCCCGCGGCGCTGCTTGCGACCTCGGTCCGACCCCGGGGAGCCGAGGTGCTGGGTCCGGCGCGGGGAGCCGGGCGGGTCGGCGCTGGGCGCAGGGAGGGCGGTCGCTCTCAGCAGGAGCCTAGTCTGAGGGCTAGCGAGCCTTGCGGCCCAGAGCGGTCGGGCCAGAGCCGCGCGGCTGCCTCCAAGCGGCCACGGCCGGCACTGCAGGCACAGCTCCCGCGTTGGACCGGCTGCAGGGCTCAGGCAGGGGCGTGACCAGGGCCGGGGCGGGGCAAGAAAGTAAGGGGGTGGGCCTGGCGGGACCTGGGTGAGGGGCGGGGCCGGGGTAGAACCCGGAAATCCGCGACCCCTTTCCAAAAATAGCGCCAGTAAGACACTTTTATTCTCACAGTAAAAGTAACTTACCAGAACTGATGTTTCCTATGTTTAATAGGGCATGGTAATTAATATTTACCCTGACTGACTTAGGGGAAATGTATGACCTAACTAGGTACAGAGAGCCACACACCTTTTGGAGGCTCGGTTTCTGATAACTGTTATCATCCCGGTGATTGTCTAAAGCTGGTTCTATTGTCTTTTAAAGTACTAATCCTACTTTTCTCCATCGGAAGATGATTTTCTTTAATCTCCGATTCTGGGGCTTTACCTAGGTGAACTTCATTCAGCACCGCAGATCTTTCGCTTATGTTTATTTATTATTTAGTAGGGAACTACTGTGTGCTGAGTTCTTTGCTAGTATCTAGGGCTACAGCAATGATCACAACAGTTCTAGGGGAGTCTGCAGTCTGAGAAAGGTAGTTTATCAGGAGGTAATAAGCGTGTTGAGGCTGATGTGTAAAGGCACATGTACTATGTGAACTCTAACAGGTATTTTACTCAAAATAGGGCTCAGGGAAGGGTCCAACTTAAGTGGAAGTTTGAGGGATAAAGGAAAATACATTCTAGGTTGGTAAAACAGACTAAACAGCCTGTGCAAAGGCTCCATGAGAAACTGGAAGATACTGATAGCTAGAGGGGAGAGTCAAGGTGTACCATGAACAGTTCTTGGGGAGGTGAACCAGGGCAAGGACATTGGCTGTGGTAAAGATTTTGGATTGTATCTTTGTTTTTGTGCTTTTTGTTTTTTTTCCCCCATTTGATTATTTATTTATTTATTTTTGGTACCCAGGGGGCCTTTACCACTTAATCACATCCCCAGCTCTTTTATAATATTTTGTTTAGAGACAGGGTCTTGCTGAGTTGCTTAGGCCCTCACTAAATTGCTGAGGCTGGCTTTGAACTCAGGATCCTCTTACCTCAGCCTCCTGAGGATTACAGGTGAGTGCCACCATGCCCAACCCTTTTTTTCCATTTTAGCCCTGTTATAGAAAACAGATTGCAGGAATGGGATGGCTATTGCAGTGTGAAATGGTTGTAGTACAGAAGAGAAGGAGGGAGGGACATGTGGAGGGCTATAGAGAGAAGCAAACAGAATGACAGGTTTTGGAAGTGAGTTGGATATGGGGTATGAGGAGGGGCAGGAGAGGAAAAGATGACTCTGGCTTCAGCACCTGGACTGCTGATGCTACTGAGTTCGGGAATAATGGACAATACAGATTTGGGTGTCAGGAAGTGAGGAAGATCATGAGTTTGAGGTGCCTTTGAAAGATCCCTGGATGAGGGGTAAGACCTCACATCTGGAGTTATCTAAGCATAGGTGGGAATGGAAGCTGTGGGAGCTTCTAGGGAGTATAGAGTATAATAAGGAAAGCCTAGAACAGAGAGCTTTAAGGTTTGTTGACCAAGACTTGAGACCACAAGCCTGCAAAAGCAGCTCAGAAAGAGCTGGAGTTAGGACAGCCAGAAGAGTGTCTTGAAAGCCAGGGAGGAATGTCTCAAGGGGTAGAGTGCCGCAGTCCGTCTGGGCACAAATCACGAGCCACTCAAGCAGGAACAAACTTTATTTCCGAACTCGTGCGAAGGCCACCCACGAGGCCCTTCCAGGCACATCACATACACCCCGAACTCCCTCCACCTGAACTTCACCAACCAACCCAAACTCTCCAGGAATCCGCGGGAGAACTCCAAAGTAGCGGGTGCCTGAGGCGGACAGCAGGGTTCTATATACAATTGAATACACAGTCTGTTTCAATCCAGCATCATCTTAATGGCTCACCTCTCAACCATTACTTCTGGCAAAATGCCAGGGGCCATTCGACTCAGCTGTGGCTCTCAACAGTGGAGAAAGTATTGATAAAGAGAGGGGACAACAGTACCTAATGCAGCTGAGAAGGCAGACAGACAGTGGTATGTAAGCAAGATGAGGGTGATGGATGAGGAAGTGGGTGGGGAGAAGGGAGAAAAAAGGGAGTGGAAAGCAGTGGCCTTGGTGGTTGGGTTATTAGTTACACTGAGAAAAATCAGAAATGTCAGTGTGAACTCATGGGTTCTAAATATGATCTATAAATAGATGATATAGGCATATTGTATACACAACCTTGCACATTTTCCTTACTCTGTAGTAACAAGCATACCAAGCACCCAGATCTTGGTTTCTTTTTATCACCATACATTAGGAAAGCCTCAGGGCCCCACTGAAGAATGGCCAAGTGGAAAATACAAAATGAATCTTTGTTGTGCCAAAAGTTAAAAAAAAATAACAGGGACATATCAAAAGGACAAAAGGTTTCAAGGGGCTCCCCACTGGTTAAACCTAGGACAATGTGCACATCAAAATGAGCAGTAGATGAGACTCTGGGGAGAACATGGTCTCACTTTCATGGTTTCTCCAAATACACAGGACCTGATCTGATACGCAATATTAGAAGAGCCAGATGGAGGGTCAGACTGCAGAATAAAAGATCTATGTTCTGTCAGATGCTCAGGCACTTGAGAATTCAGAAAAAAACTGAGGAACTGTTCCAGACTGAAGATACTGATGAGACATGACAACCAAAGAGCAGCATGTGGTACTGGATAGAATCCTGGACTGAAAGTAAAGGGAGGAATTGTTCCTATGATTGGCATTATCTGAACGAGGTCTATGGAGTAGTGTTGTATCAATGTTGATTTCTTGATTAGGAGGGCTGGATAGTAGCAGGGAGGGCTCCTTGAATTTTGGAAATACACACTACACAATTTAAGAATGGTAAGAGTATCATATGGGCTGGGCTTGTAGTTCAGTGGGAAAGCATTTGCCTTGCACAAGTGAGGAACTGGGTTTGACCCTCAGCACTGCATAAAAATAAAATGTAGAAAAAAGAAAGAGTATCATGTAAGGAAAAGATAAGATAGGAATGGAACAAGTATGAAAAATGTTAACTGGGAAATTAGGGTGAAGGGGATTGAGAAGTTGTACTGGTTTTGAAATTTTCCTGTAAGTTTTAAACTGATTTTTAAAAATGAAAAAAAATTACAAGTAAAATACAAGTCTAAAAGTAATTTTTTTATTTACAGTATAAAGGTTACAAAGGTATATATGTATTTATATATATATATATATATATATATAATACCCTTAAGTTACAAATTTTCATTGTAATATACAATGCTATATGTTGATGTGCAACTCAAGGGCAAGTGTTGTCTATGCATCTATATAGAGTATACATAAAGCTCTTTTTTTTTAAAAATTAAGAACACAAATACTGCCCTGTTTTATGCCATTTTTTTTTTTGATTTGGTAGACAGAAGATTCAAGAGTTAGATTTTAAACAAGACTTGTAAAGTAGAAGTCTTAAGAATGGTATTCTAAAAAGAAGAAAAAAACAGAATCACATACTTCTGATTATCTGTTGAAGTATTATTCTAGCTTTCTAAGTCTTTGCGTTTATCAAAAATGAAAGTAGTGTGGGAAAGAATACATACAAGTGGATATTATCAGAATTTGCAGAGATTAACCAAAATAAGCCTTAATAGGTAGTGGTTTCTCACATTATTATTTTTTTAAACTGGGGATTGAACCCAGGGGCACTTTACCACTGAGCTACATCCCCAATCTTTTTTTATTTTTTATTTTGAGAAAGGGTGCCACTAATTTACTCAGGGACTTGCTAAATTGCTGAGGCTGGCCTTGAACTTGAAGTCCTCCTAGCTCAGCCTCCAGAGTTTCCGGGATTACAGGCATGCATCACCACACATGGCTCCCACATTATCTTCTAAAAGACCTCAGATCTGGTACCAAAAAGGAAACATTCTTTGGGCATAAAGGTCTTTTAATGATGAACTCATCCAACAAACTGTAAACATAACACTGACATCCTGTATTGGAAAAAAATTCTGAAACTAGTTCTTATGATCAGGGCAGATTGCTACAGGTGAGATCATGGAGCCTGGTGATTATGCAAAATTGAAACTTAGTTTAAATTTAATTTCCTCTTCTTCAAATTCTGTGAATTCACAAAGGTGAAAAGATAACTGACATCCACTCTAACAGGATTGAGACAGAAGTTCTTCCAACCTAAGAGGAACAGACATTTACACAATACTTATGGGCTAGTTTCAATAAAACAGTCATAAGCACCTGATTTTCAAAGCGCAGGTTTAAGGACAAGACTGAGACTCAGAAGGCATGAGCTAATTTTTGTGTACAACTCCAGGACACTTCAGAACCAAGGGGAAAGAGTCCCTATGACATTCCCTCACAGATAGCTCAGGTACTTTCTGGGCACAAGTAAGGATATATTGCCTTAAAAGCTGAGCTTATGGGTAGAAAGGTACTGTTACTCTATGAAAATTATGGAAAACAATCACCCTCTTTTATTTCCTTTTGTTAAGCTTTAAATTTCTTTAATTCAATGGATTAATAATGGAGAAACATTCCATATACCATATGTGTGGAACTTTTTAGCAAATGAGATGCTGAAATGATTTAAATGTGGAAATAAATGGGTCAGCAAGATTTAAAAATAAAAGTTGAAGAAATACACAATTAGTTGTACAGTTTACAGTTAAGCAGCATTAAAAAAAAAAACCAAAACCTTTCCCATTGATCCGCTTTCAGCAATAGGGCTTATTTTTATTAGGGATACTGTACCCTATTCTATTATCTCTCCGAAACTAAAGTCTAATTTTATAAAATTAAGCATGAAGACCAATATACTTTAATGCTAGGATCCTTTTGTGTTGGTATGGGTCAAAGCCAGAACATCCCTTCAAAGG